CTGTGTTTTTACTCTTTATGTGTGTTTGCTCCACATTCTAAAGTGACAGTGTGTTTATGTGTAAATGCATGTATGTGTCAGATGAGAACGTTGACAGCAGTAAGGTCATGGCCTTGGTGGTGCGTGGTGAAGGAGGACCACATCCAGACTCCTACTGCGCTTCTCTGCAGGATGGAATAGCTCGCCGCAGCATCTCCTCCCAATGCAGTGCCCCCCCATCTCTCGCAACAGATGTGGTGAATGTTGGAGTCCTAGGACTCCCAGCAGGGCTGCAGCAGTACCGAGCCTCCATTAAACCCCTGATGGGCTATGGAGAGAGCCAATATAATCTAGAGGACGGGACCCATTCCCTCCACAGGTATACTTGCCTATTTACACACATATGCAATAGGAAATGTCTGAAGTTTAATGCTTCATTTCTGCACCATTTGGGTGTATGCAGCAGCCAGGAGGCAACAGTCTGTACCAGTTTAGGTACATGTGTTAGATGTAGTTCTTATAATGGGTTAAAAATGATCATTTTTAGTTGGGCAGCATCAATGACTGTAGAAAACATGGACGACGCGACAGCTCCACAATAATGAAGCCAAAACGTCTCTATCGCCCTCTGGTGTCTGGCTGCAGTATAGGTCATAAACCTCCTCCATGTTAGCGGATGGGACTGGGGTCAGACTAAAATAAATGAATTCTCCTAAGATAAATTTTTTCCAAAGATTCTTTCTTTTGTTTTCAATAGTTCTCATCACGCTGATTGATATCCAAGAGGTCTCCTTTCCCATAAGTTTGATTCTAATTCCTAATTCCTACCACAGTGATGTTAAATTGGGGTGAAACGTCATCATAACAGCTTTGACTGGCAGCTGCAGTCACGGAGAAACTTGCGTATCTCTGTTCGGGAATAGCAGATAGAGCGTAGGCTCTGAGAGGAGGACCAGCGTTTACGTTACGAAAACATGACCGAGTGTTTTAACCTGACAGCCTGAGGTGTTCTTCAGTAAACTGGACTACCCGACAGTTTTCTACAGTCATTGGGCAGCATATAAAAGAAACATCTAAACACACAAAAAACAAACTTTTTTGTCAGTGTAATCTTTAGTTCGACATTTTTCGGTAATTCAAATGTAGGTAAATGAGCTGATTGTATTATAGTGATTTCTATCTAACATTCACACTCTTGATAGCTGCATGCGAAAGCAACTTGGGGTTAGTTGTCATGGTCCTGGGTCAAGCGACCCAGTGTTTGAGTTTATGTATCTTTTGTATTTCTTTTGTGCCTTAGCTTAGTGCACCTAGTTAATTTCTAGATTACTGTGTAGTCCTGTTTCTTAGTTATGTCATCTCCCCTGTACTAAGTCTCCCTGGTTCATGCGTCATGTCTGTGTGGTTATGTTTGGTTCCTTGTCTAGTCTGTCATGCGTGTTAGGCCTGTTAAGTTGTGTTGTCGTGTCTAAGTCTGCATGTTTCCTGTTTTATTTTGAAAAGGGTCTTGTGTTCTGTGCTCATGTGGTTAGTTTTACTCTTGCCTGTGCATCATTATGTTTATCCTAGTCAGCTGTTTCCTCATGTGTCTCCACTTCCCCTGATCACCTCATGTGTGTATTTAAGTCCTCTGTTTTCTGAATGTCATTGTCGGGTCGTCTGTTATCCCCACCATAGTCATAGTCATCGTCATCGTCATAGAACTTCGTAGTATTTGTTTCTTAGTGTTTTTTAGTTTGCTTAGGGTTCTTTGGTTAACCCCTGTAATCATCCAAATAAAGGATCGCTTTCTGTTTAAACTTGCAACACCTCGTCCACATCTGCTTTTGGGTCCTGTTTCGAAAAACACACAGGCGCACCCCGCCGTGACATTAGTATCTTGCAGGGATATTTGACATGTAGACTGGAGCAGCCAGGAATCAAACCACCAACCTTCCCATTAGCAGATGACCTGCCCTACCACCTGAGCTACAGCCACACCGTTTCTTTGGTTAGCTAAACCAAAGAAATAGAAAAGTCACTTTGGGTATGTGGCCTGACAGTTACAGCATGTCATTTTGCAATCCAATAGTAGAACGTTTAAAGTGCCTTGAGGCAATTGTTGTGATTTGGCACAAAACTGAATTGAATTCAAGTAGGAGCTGACTGGCCAAGGCCTATGTGAGTGTGATGTTAAGTGTTGGGGAGTAACGGAATACATGTACCACCGTTACGTATGTAAAAGACAAAATATGAGTAACTGTATTCCGTTACAGTTACCATTTAAAAAGGTGGTATTCAGAATAGTTACTTTGTTGAAATAAATGGATTACACGGCGGTATTTTCCTGTTTCATAAGGCTATGCCCTCTCTATTTCTGGTAATTCCACGCTGATGGAAACCTAAACAAAACGCACATTAAGAGGCTCTAATGCGTGTGACTTAACCTCGCGGCACATGTCACCCCTTATTGTGGCCCGCATAATGACGTGAAGAAATATTTTTAAATAGTATTATTCAACAAATTATTTAATATGAAGACGATAGGCAGTGTGATAAAGGCATAGCATGTATGAAGCATGTAAATATAATAATAACCACTGACGAGCCCAGCTGTAAGTAAGCTATTAAGACTCGACTGTACACTGTGTTCATGTTTTCCTCTGAAACAATAAGTCCCGTTGGAGCAGCCTTTCAACGCCTCTCTCTGTCTCTGCTAGCAAAGTTGACCCAGACAACAAAGTAAAGCTAGTTTTCAGCTACGAGCCCGACATGAACCTGACGTATTAGCCAGAGGTCCTTTACTGCGGTTCGGAGCCGCAGACCTGTTTTATATACGCGCTGAATAGTTTTCTGTACGAGATCTCTGCAGCCTTACCTAATGTCCACCTACTGTTACTCATTTATATTAAGATTTAAACATCTAGTTGGTGTTGGTGTGGAGAGTAACCTTCAGTAATAGTAATAAATCACACAGCAATAGGACATTCATGTAGTTGTAAAAAGCATGATAATGTATTAAGTAATCCAAAGTATTCAGAATATGTTACTCTTATTGAGTAACGTAACGTAACGGAATACGTTAAAAAATACATTTTGGAAAAATTAACCTACCCAACACTGGTGATGTTATATCACTCAAGCTCAGACAGCCATCCTGTAAGTCTTTTATACAGCAAATATTTTAAAGTGAATGTACAGCCTGTGTGTGCTGTTGAGGGCAGGCCTGGCCAAAAATCATATAATCAAGTCTTGGCACAGGAAAACAAATCTCTACATGGATTGTATTAATTTAGTCATTTACTCACGTGATTATTTTTGTGCATAAAGCAGGCTGGATACAACAGTGTTTCCTACTCATAAGCTTTATTGCTCAGATATATATCTAAATCCAGAACTGAATTTAAAATCCTTCTCATTGCATACAAGGTCTTGAATAATCATGCCCCATCTTATCTTAAAGGCCGCTTAATATCTTCTCACTCCAATGTAGCTGCCATCACCAGTGTGTGAATGTGTGCGTGAATGGGTGGATGACTGGATATGTAAAGCGCTTTGGGGTCCTTAGGGACTAGTAAAAGCGCTATACAAATACAGGCCATTTACCATTTAGAGCATTTTGCTCTCAGGCTTCTGGTTTACTTCTGGTTCTTCGGGTATTCAAAAGTAGAATGGGAGGCAGAGCCATGTGCTCCCAGTTTGGATTTGGATTTACTTTTAAGATTCATCTTAAAACTTTCCTTTTTGATAAAAAAATATAGTTAGGGCTGGATCAGGTTACTGTGAATACTCCCTTAGTTACACTGCAGTAGGCTTTCCATTATCACCGAGCGTTTCTTCTTCACTCTTTTTTTTCTGCTTTTTTTCCTCTGCTTTTAATCTTAAGTTATTATTAATCCATGGGTCTCTTCCCTGGCATGTCTTTGTCCTGTCTTCCTTCCCTCATCCCCAGCCGGTCGTGACATATAGCCGCCCCTCCCTGAACGTAAGTAACCGGAGGTTTCTTACTGTTAAAGGGAGCTTTTGTTCCTCTACACTGTCACCAAAGTGCTTGTTCATAGAGGACCATCTGATTGTTGGGATTTTATTTGTTTTCTCTGTATTGTTGTGGAGTCTTTATCAGTTTAAAGCACCTTGTTACGATTTGGCACTATATAAATAAAATTGAACTGAACTGGATTATATTTCTTCCAGGAATCATCTGAATCAAAATCAAAATCAGAATACCTTAATAATCGAAGAGGAAACGATGTGGTGACAATTGCTCCAAAATGAAAAGAACAGTAATGAACTAAACTGAACTAAATAAAAGAATATATTACAAAGTTACAAAATTTAACAAAATATCTCTAATAAATGCAAATAGCTCTAATTATAAATATATTACAGAAAATTAAATATGCATTGAAGTTGTAAAAAAAATATTAGGGGGTAGAGTTTAAGTACCTGCTCAGCACTGTGTTGGCACATGGGGAAATTATATCCTTAAACTTAGTTACAGTCCTTTGAGAAAGAGATCTACTGTGATGAAATGTACTTTTCCACTGCTTTGTAACCCACTATTGGAGATTTAAGTATTATAAGGAAATGATCCGACAAAAGAGGATTTGGGTTGGTTTTTGGTTTGTTTTTTTTAAGTTTTCCAGTGAGGGCAGGCTAAGCATCAAGCTTTCAAATTAATTAAAACTCTGTGTGGGTCTTTGGATGATTTGTAAGATGGAGTGGAAGATTGCTGCCACACCCTCTGTAGCTTGTGGTTCAAGGATTCAAGGCTATTGATTCATTTAAACTAACATAATTATTCTGCTCTAACCAGGTTTCTTTAAAGCAAACTAAATCAATTTGTTCATCAATTACTAATGTATGTACTGACAGGGACTCAGAAGGGAGAGACATAATGTTTAATAATCCACAATTTGGTGCAGTTGTGTATACTATATTGTTGTTTGTAATTTTTATTTGTTTGTTTGTCTAAATCACTTTTGTCATGTAAAAAACATCAGTGGTCTGGAGCTCTATGTAAGCTCTTTCCTCCAGACCATCCTGTAGAAAGCCTGTGAAGGTAGCTGAAGCTTCAACTTGCTTGGCAGTAGTCAAGAAACCTAAAGGATTTAGAGTTAGTTAGAGACGTAGGCAACAATTCCTCCTGAGATGTGTGCAAACCTGGTGACCAACTACAAGATTGGGAACATTTATTTCAATCAATGACATGAAAATCAATCGATGACTTGTAATAACTAACTGATTGCTATTATATCCATCTCTATTATACTGAAAACTACGATAGAAATTAGAGACTTTGATAAACTGATTACTTGATTTTTCATCTATTTATCAAAGGACCATATTGTTTGTGGGTTTTACACTGCTGTACATACATTCACTTTCTATTCCATCTGCTTTTTCTTTCTCTAGGCGGAAGAGTAGGAAGTATGCTGACGGTCAGCTTCCCCCAATGGGAACCAAAATCCCACCTAGTTCCCCTCACAGACTCAGTGAAGTCAGGATGTTTGATGGTGGACAAATCATCGGAGGTGTGGGCCTAGTGTCTCCTGAGAAGAAGTCACTGATTCGCCAGTCCCTGGGGCAGGACAATAACAGTGCTACACTAGAGATTATAAGCAGAAGCAGAGGAAGTGGATCCTCATCCTCCACCTCATCTGTTTTTGCTGACAGTCCTCTGGGACAAACTGAGAGACTGTTTCAGGGCCATATGAATGCCAGCAATGCCCAAAGGTGAGCTGATAGCCAGAGTAATTGCCTTGTTGCATTGCAGCCTATGACGAAATCACAGGAAACATAAATCACAGATGTTCTTTTAAACGACAAAAAAGAACAACTTTTCTTGTGTCTTTCATAATGTATGAGAAAGATAACTAAGCAGTGGGTTCGGTTATTTTCCATGTTTAGCCAGTTGCATCACAAAAATAGTCCTTATATTATACTCAGTGAATGCTTATAGTGATAGATTATACCAGTAGCTGATAATCAGCCCAGATATACTCTGCTCCAAGAACAAAACATGACATGTTGCCCTTTTTGAATTAAATACACAACTAACGACTTATCTCGCATTTGTCCTATGAGATATTTCTGTTACTAGGTCGAAATTGCGTGGTAGAAGTTTCAAAATCTGACACTTAGTAACTGCAGAATATCACACAGTGATGATATCTGCAAAGTAAAAAAACAGGCCTCTTGAGATTTGCTTTGAATGCTCAGAGTAGAAATGTGTTATAAAAGTAAAACTCCATTAACAAATGTTGTGCTTGGTTCAGCTGGACTCTTCCAAAACTGACCCCACTTAAGTCACTAAATGCATAAAATGATTAACCTTATTTTGTCCTTTAAGGCTTTTTCAAGTATGATCAGTACAGGGAGCTCAGATTCATAGCTAAACTAAGTGTCAATGGGGAAGTGACCAGTGAGGAAGTGGAGAGGGGAGTTGTTTTTAAGATTAAGCTTCAACTGTTCCTTTTGATAAAGTGTATGGTTAGGGCTGATCATGTGAACCTTTCTTCCTCCTGATGATGTAGACTCAGGGTGAACTACCAGGATGCTCTCAAAATTGCTCATCCACTAATATCGGAGTGTATTTCCCTTCCAATATAAAGAATCATGAGACCAATGATTGTGTATTGGTGCTTAAACGAAATTATGACAGTTACATGGTGGCAAGCTGTTCTCATGGTTCATATAAGTGTTATGCGATGGATATAATGTATGTATTCCTATTTATCAGTGAGAGAATCAAAGCCATGGAGGAGCAGATAGCCAGTCTAGCAGGGCTAGTGCACCACGCTTTGTCCATAGGACCCGGAGACAAGGGTGCTGTCAGGTCTGTAACATCTACTGATATTAACAATTACTATATTAATTATTCTTACATTTATTATGTTTGTTGTTGGTAGTATTTAAAATAACAATGTGTATAAAACAAGAATTCATTTAATCAAATATAATATTAGTTTGACTAACAGATCTTTGCCTCATAAAGTAAGATTATTTCTGCATACGATATAAACCTGGGTTAAACAGTCATTTTAGGTCTTTTGTCTGTCTGTGTTTTTCAGTGAGAGTCCAGAATGCAACCTTATAAACAACAGACTTGGTGAGAGGTTTCTTAAATGTACATATTGCCACTATGAGTGTGTCTCATGGTGTGAAAATTCTGAAAAGAAAACAATTTCTTTGGCCTTCAGGAGTATCATCTGAGCCCCAGAATCCTGCTGCTCTGACTGACAGCTTTACCTCCATCCATCCAGCTGCTCGGGCCCCTGCTTCTGACAGCAGAGTGCAACAGCGTTTAGTGTCAGCCAAGAGGAATGTGTGTGAGCTGCGACTCCAGTTGAACCAGCTCAGACAGTTACAGGTACTCAACTCTGCTCACTATTTACAGTTAATGCAGCACAAGTAATAAAGTTATTAATAATAGTAGTAAATACTGACGTGTACTTTTTAACTACTTATGTTGTCTCACTGACAACTCAAAGTGCTCCAAGCCAAATCAATTTGCTTCAATTTAGTTTTATTTATGTAGCGCCAAATCACAGCGATAGTTGCCTTAAGGTGCTTTACATACAGAGAAATCAGAGAAAACCTCAACAATCAGACCCCCCACCCCCCATGAACATGTGCTTTGGTGACAATAGGAAAGAAAAAACCCCTTTTAACAGCAAGAAACCTTCAGCAGAACCACGCTCAGGGAGGAGAGGCCATCTGCTGCGAACCCCTGGGGGTTAGAGGAAGAAGATGGGACAAAGTCATGCTGTGGAATAGACCCAGAGATTAATAATAACTAATGATTAAATGCAAAGTGGAGTATAAACACATAGTGATGGAAAAAAAACACATCTGACTGAAGAGGATGCAAAGCATCATGGAAAGCCCCTAGCAGCCTAGAAATATCGGAGTGTCTCTAAGGGAGAATTCAGGGTCACCTGATCCAACCCCAGCGATATGCTTTCTCAAAACATTTTAAGCCTAACCTTAGGCTTGATGATTTGTGACAGAAGGAAAGCAGCAAGACTGAAAGGGAAGGTTTATAGGATGGTAGTGAGACCTGCTGCGACTTGTGTTTTTTATGGTGGCAATAATTTACTGCCACCTTAGGTTGGAGTAAAAGTTAGAGATGCGCAAAGGAGGGGTAAACAACATATTGTGCAAAGAATTCTGAGTATGCAGCTGAACGGCAGGAGGACAAGGAGAAGACCTCATGGATATAGTGAAGAAGGACATGCAGAGGGTAGGTGTCACAGTGGAGGATGCTTGTGATGGCTGGATAGTGAGATCGAGGTAAATTATCACTTGTTGTGATCCCTACAGAGAGCAGTCAGAAGGAGAAGATGATCTTATGCTGGGCCTTGCTGCAACACCTCAGTTCATCATTTGCCTTAAACAAGCTATTATAGATTAAGTGTTGTGTTGAAATGGCCATATTACCAATATTTGCTCTGAAGACCAGAGCAACACGGTGGCACGGTGGTTAGCACTGTTGCCGCACAGCAAGAAGGTCCTGAGTTCAATTCCACCATCAGGTCTTTCTGTGTGGAGTTTGCATGTTCTCCCCGTGTTTGCGTGGGTTCTTTCCACAGTCCAAAGCCATGCAGTTAGTGGGGATAGGTTAATAGATCAATCTAAATTGCCCATAGGTGTGAATGGTTGTCTGTCCCTGTGTGTTGGCCCTGCGACAGACTGGCGACCTGTCCAGGGTGTACCCCGCCTTTCGCCCTATGACAGCTGGGATAGGCTCCAGCGCCCCCCGCGACCCTGAAAAGGATAAGCGGAAGCGAATGGATGGATGGATGCTCTGAAAACCCCAAAACGTTTTCCTGATTTCTGACTTGCTGGATGTTTTTCAGCTGTCAAACCAAGAGACTGTGAGTTCTACACTGCAGATGGCAGGCCACGAGCTAGTGGTGTTGATGTGTGATCGGCTGGCTCGATTTGAGGAGGCAGCATTCAGACAGAGAGCTGAATTGGAAGAGGAGAGGAGCCTCTACCTCGCTGAAGAGGAGAAAATACTCACACAGCTTAGGTAAGAAAATGAATTTAAGAATTCAAGAATTTTTTTAAAATACTAATCTTTTGAAGGAGTAGCCATGAACCACACTGTGCTGATCTGTTATGACAGACCTGCTGTCAGAGGCCACAAGAAGATCATTCGCAACCTTCACTAATGCTGTTTCTGTGCTGTGATGAGCTCTGAAACCTGAGTTAACTTTTCAAATAAATTGTTCCTCTGCAGATGATCACTTAGCTGTTTCACAACTTTCTCTTTCAAGAATTTCTGAGATAAAGAGAAGGCTTGAAACTGACTTAAAAATAACTAAGACAGCTGGGTTTAACTAAGGGCTTTTAAAATGATCTAGTTTTTCCTCGATCATTGGCAAATAGTAATGTTCTAGTTTTACGAAGGCCTTTTTAAAATAAAGAAACAAGCAGTTTTTGCAGCCTATATGAAGACCTGTTAACATAATGAGACATCATTTCCTCTTCACCTTCTGAGTTAACTGCTGCAAGGCCTGCATCTGTGAATTATGTGAGCTATTTGTGAGCCACAGTATCCAGTGGATAGGATCCACCCAGGGATGTAACGCTATTAATAACTAAGGACACCCCATGAATCAGTAGCTTGTAGAACCACATTTCACAGCATTAACTTGTAGAAATTTTCCCTTCTCTTTACAGCATTGTTTAAGTTTGGTCTGTGCTCAGCTGTTTGAATGGCCCGCCACAGCATTTCAGTCCGGTTGAGGTCTGCACTTTGGACCACTGCAGCACCTTGATTCTTTTCTTTTTCAGCCATTATTATAGATGATAAGCTCTTGTAGATTTCCATATTGTCTTGTTGATGACCAAGTTTGATCCAAGCTTTAGCTGTAAGATAGATGGCCTCACATTTGACTCTAGAATACTGAACAGGTGAACAGATGAGTTCATAGTGGACTTGGTAACGGAAAGATGCCCGAATTTTCATCCTTCCACCACCGTTCTGACGGTTGGTGTTAGGTGTTTGTGCTGCTATGCTGTATTAGGGTTTTTTTCCAAACGTTATGCTGTGCATTATGGATAAACATCACTTTGGTGTCATATCTCTAAAGCAAATTGCTCTGGCAGTCTTGTGGTTTGTTCAGATGCCATTTTCAATCCTAAGCATCAATATCTTGGTGGTTTTAATCCAAACAAGTGAGGAGTGGATCTAATGCAGAAACTGAGATACATGACTTGCTTTATCATCATGCTGGACTATAACTAGGATAATCATTTACAAAATTAACATTATGTTCAATTGAAATTTATCTAATGCAGTTTTACAATGAAACTTGAAACTAGCAATTGAAACCATAAACTTATCAGCAAAATATTTGTTGAGGTCATAACTGCTGCTGAAGGTTCGATTTCCCATAGATTTCTTTTTGCAACCAAAGGAATCATCCCCTGATGTGACTCAACGTCACTGTTGGCCGACAGAGCCACCCCACTCCCAGTGAAAGCTTTTACTGCAACTCCAAAAGTCCTACCTTTGCTTGAGCCCATGGTAGCCCTTGTCCAACCTTGTTTAGATCTGTTCCCTTCCAGCTGTTATATAAACGAGTAGTTATGTGTAGTGTCTTTACATCAGACTTTAAGAGTTGCTGACCTAAATAGATGCTGATGTCAAGATTTCAGCTGTCCTCTTTCATTTAAAGTTAAAGCACTGACTGACCATGATTTAGTCCTTCCAACATTCACAGACGTGGTCTGACATCATGACCCTTTATAGTGTAAAATGCAGCTGAAGTCAAATCATTGGTGGCATGCATGGCGTGACATATCAACTTGTAGGCCTAATGTTAAAAAGCAATTGTTAAAAATAGAGGAGTGGGGTGGGAAGTGATTTGATTTGGTATGGCATGGTCGTCCAAACACATCATAATTCGTTCACATAATAACATGCTACACATTAACTTCTTTTTTCAACGTACTCTGCTAACATGGTTTGGCATTTATGAAGGTTCATGAGTAGGAGTTTCAGAATAACTGGGACACAGTTATGTTTCTCTATGCGAATTCAAACACACGTTTAACCAGATACCAACATATCAAGCCAGCCTACTCTCTTAAGCCCCAAGGTTCTTTCTGAGGTTCGTGCTCTTGGTATCTATAATAAAGCTAACACTTGGGAGATTCATCAGAGGTGGAAATATTAGAGGAGATGTTACTATGTCAAAGCAGCTGAGGCTGGAACATAGAACAAAAGGAATACTTTTTTCCTTGCCTAATTTATTTTGGAATTTTATTGCATATAACCATATTGAAAATATGCTTCAGTAGACAATAAACTCAGTAAACAGTCCCGATCAAAAGTTGAAGACCACTTGAAAAATGGCCAAAAATCATATTTTGCATGGTTGGATCTTAACAAGTTTCCGAGCTTCAACATGCAACAAGAAGAAATGGGAGCAAAACATTTTTGAACATGCAGTTTATTGAAAACGGCACTTAAACTGAAACAGGCTGTTTTACAGCTGATCAAAAGGTTAGGATCACACACCTTTAAAAGGCCAAATCTGTGGCAAAGATGTGGATTCATTGTCATTTTCTGTCAGGTAGTCACGCTGTCATGACGTTCTGATGACAAAGGCAACGTGAACGTGGTCGCGTTGTTGAACTGCATAAGCAGGGTTTCTCACAGCGCGTCATCGCTGCTGATGTGGGACGCAGTGAGACAGTCATTCCACCTGTGAGGATCTGCGCAGCCTTTAACCACAGCCATAAAGCTTTGGGTTAAGATAAACACGTTTGGTTTCTGTCGCTGTCACATCTACACAACACTTGATGTAGAAAGGGACAGACTGACTGAAGGTCTCCAGGTCCCGTTGTTCAAAGATGGACCAGGCTGTTATATCAAAACAGTCCTGTAGTTGGAGGAGAGCACCATCTAGCCATGTTTTAATGACCCAGGTGCCTGGATGGGTCTGTTTGCTGCAGGGGATGTAGGCAGGGATGAGGACCAGTGAGAGGTGGTCAGATTATGTCAGGTGGGGGTGTTGTGTCACTCTGTAGACCTGCTTGATGTTGCTCACTTAGCTCTGGTTATTATATTATGTATATTTATGTGCATAGTGTCTATGCATTTATTGCTCCTACCCTTGAGGTTAGAGGCTAACTGCATATGTACTTTTATATTACTTGTAAGCTGTGCAATGAAATTGAAGTTCAATCTAGTCTAACCTTGCAGCACCCAAGCTTTTATACATACATCACTTCTGATGATGGCTTATGTGTGTTTATGTTGTCAGACTGGTCTATCTAGTAAAGTGCTGGCAAGCTACAAGATACCATGTCAGAACATTCCAGTCACTTGAACATTTCATGTAGCAGACTTTTAGGTGCAGCAGTTTTCAAGTTATTCACAAAAAGAATTAACGTAATAATCACTGATTATTAGGGCCACACACAGGACCAGTGACTGTGACTCCTTAAACCTGCTCTCTGCTGCCATCTTGTTTCTACAGCAGGCCGTCACACAGTTAACTCTGCTGCCTGTGACTGTTAATGCCATGTTTCTGTCTTCTGTGTTCTTTACTTTGCAGTGAACTGGAGGACTATGTGGACCATTTGCAAAGAAGCTCCATTACCGGTTCAAGCCAGCTGAGTGTAACTCTGAGAGATGTAGAGGAAGGAGCGATGAGCCTACGGGGGGTCGGGGAAACTCTGGCCATTCTCAAAGGTTAGTGGGTTTAGGGCAGGGGTCAGCGACCTGCAGTGCATGCGGCTCTTTCATCTTTATACTGCGGCTCTGCGTGGCGTGGGAAAATAAGTTATAAGTATTTAATTGAGGTGTACTTTATTTTTTTTAGTTCTTTTTTAAATTGTAGTTCAAATTGGAAGATTATTGTGATCGTGAAATATTAAAATTAAATTATATTTTATTTTAAACAAGCGTCACGCTTGCGGAAGCCGGAGAAAAGTAAGAAAAGAAAAATATCTGAAGAAATAGAATAATTAATGATACTTGGGCAGATTCATTCTGGCCTACCAGTATGCCTAATCTGTGGAGAGAGACTGGCTAACAATAAAAGCTTACATGTCGCAAGACATGTCCAAACTAAACACACGACCTTTGCTGATAAATATCCAGAGGGAGAAGAGAGGAAAAAAGCTGTTTTGGAACTGATGCGGAAGAATGAAATTGGCAAATTCAACTATACATGCAGATTTTGTGACCACTCAGGAAATAGTCAGGCATGGGAAGCCGCACCACCACAGGAAGAAATGATTGAGATGATACCACTAAAATGCCAGACACTGGAGAAGGACGTCTGTGAAGCTGTGCTTGATTGTTTAAGAGCTAAAGAAATGGAAACAACCCACCTAGTGTCAGTGGCTACTGATGGGGCGCCAAGTCTGATTGGTGTGCACGGGGGCTTCTTGGCATTGCTGCAGAAGTCACTGGATAGAAAGCTGCTGACATTTCACTGCATCCTGCACCAAGAGACATTGTGCACGCAAACCTTTCCTCCAGAATGCACAGAGGTCATGAATGTTGTCATTCAGATTAGCAATAAAATAATAGCAAAATGTTTAAATCACCGTCAGTTCCATTTGTTATTGGATGAGATGCAGAGCACGTACTCTGATCTCCTCATGTATAACAGAGTCCGGTGGCTGTCCAGAGGAGAGGTGCTGAAACGCTTTGGTGCACGTCTGGAAGAGGTGAAAACTTTCATGAGCAGCAAACTGCTCGCCTTTTCTGAACAGCCAGAGTGGCTGGAAAGGCTGCACTTGACGGTGGACATGATAGCAAACCTGAACAAGCTGAATACAACTCTTCAGGGCAGGCACAGCGCTACACATGCTGGAGGAGGTGTTAGGGCTTGAGCGCAAGCCGACAGTTTTAGTCAGAGATTTACAGAGAGGCACACTGTCTCACTTCCCCTCTTTAAGAGAGTTTAAACAAGGTCACAAGGTAATAAATGCAGAATATTTGCAGTCTGCAATCACCACGATGCAAGCATCGTTTTGGGAAACAATTCCAAGACTTCGGAGAGGAAAAAACACATTATCACTCCCCTGACCATCGATCCCTCCCTCCCTGCATTTGCAGGTGTAAGTCAACCTGATCTGGAGCTGGCTGACATAGCTGACAAAGATATGTGGGTGTACGAATTCAAACGCTTGACAGAGGGTCGAGATGTTGCCCATCAGAAGGCCACTCTTGTTCAGGATCACAAATGGAGTGATGTTGACACCCTTTGAAGACCGGACAAACATGGAATGTCATCCCCGACACATAAGCACTAAGAAATATGCATTTGGAGTCCGGTCGATCTTTGGATCCACGTATACATGTTCTCCACAAACACCGCTCACACCTCACAGACGACAGCTTACAGTCCTGCATAAAGATGAAAGTGACCTCGCACAGCCCTGCTTTGCAGACGCTGTGAGCAAATGTTCAGGAACATTAACCAGGTGAAATAAATATTTATGCTGATATTTTGCAGACATTAATTTTTAATTGTTTAGTGACATAGACCTTTTTTTCTATTATATTTTATAAATTCTGCTCATTTCTGGTCAAAGGCGATATAAAAATGACATTTTTGTGACATTTTTTGTGACATGAAATTTTTTATTTGCTACATGGATGATTTAAGTTCAGCTTTTTAACTCATTTGAAAAACACCTTCAAGTCGACAAGTTTCGTTTTTGTTATTATTGATTTATCTTCAAAATGTGTTCATTACGTAAGTAAAATTTAACTTTCTCTGTAGCACCTCGTGGATTTTAAAAGCAACACACTTTTATACAAAGTGCAAAGATGAAAAAACAATATGCAGTGTTATCTTCATTTAAGATGTCAAAAAGTATTTGCGGCTCCCAGTATTTTCTTTTCCATGGAAATCGGGTCCAAATGAGCCATTTGGACCCGGGTGTTTGGGTGTTAAAGGTTGCCGACACCTGGTTTAGGGTGACTCAGTGAAAGGTTGAACCAATCATTTTATTGGCCAACATGTAATAGGTGCATTAGATCTGTATTTTGATATATGAATGGTTTGGTCATGTAATGTTCTAATAAATATTATAGTGATTTTAATAATTAATTAATTAAAAACTCAAAAAATTCAATCAGTCACCTCTGGGAGTTATTGAAATAATGAAATAAATAATTAACCTGATATCTCATGTAGGGCTGCCACGATTAGTTGACTAGTCACGATTAGTCGACTATCAAAATCGTCGACGACTGATTTAATAGTCGACGCGTCGTTTGAAGCTTTGTAAGATCCCAAAAGACGCAGGAATAAGTAGCAGGATTTAAGAGTGTAATAACGGATTGAAACAGAAGATGGCAGCACTGCATGTACAAGGATGCCAGCTGCCGTTAAACCCCGAAGAAGAAACTGTGTCCCAGAATTCATAGCGCGGCCCAGCGCAGTTGTCAACAATGGCGGCAGCTAGTTAGTTTTAATGTTACTCTTATTATTCTTTCTGGGTCACAAAATAAACTTTTAACATATTTTCAGGCGAGAATGTAGCTGTGTAAACCTCAAATATCTGCTCAGTTTATCAAGACACCACATATTTTCAAAAGCGCTCCGACGTTTTCGGAGACGTCTGTTACCCACTAGCTCGATAGCTAGCCGGGGGCTAGGCTCACTAGAGCCGTGAGAACACCGGACTCCCGGCAAATCGTTTTCAAACCCACCGCCGTCTTTCGCTACTCAGGTTAAACATATGAGTCACTTAGATAACTTAAAAATGTTATTGTTTGGCTTTTATTTATTTATTTATTTTTTAGTATTTTATTTGTTCCTGAGTAAATCTGTTTGGCTGAGATTAAAGTTATAGTTTTTACACAGCTGAATAAACGTCAAGCAGACAGCTGATTATCAGAAGTGTGAGATGCTGAGAATCTACTCCGGTGTCCTGTTATATTTTAGATAGCAAGGAGTTTATTAAACTTCACTGAAACAAACTATCATCTTGTCTTTATTTTTAGTTAGCACGTACCTTAAACACTTAAAGCTGTAAGCTAATGATAGTTATATAAGAGCAGATGCTGCTGGTGCAATAAGCTGTACGTTTTACGTCCAGTGGATGATGATCTGATTAATCGACTAATCGCAAAAATAATCGGTGACAAGTCGACTATCAAAATAATCGTTTGTGGCAGCCCTAATGTCATGTAGATTTTGGTAGTGTACTCAGAGTAAAGTTCCCTTCCTTGTTTGGTATCTTCCAGGTGAGTTTCCAGAGCTGCAGATGAAGATGCGCTTGGTGTTGAGGCAGGAGGTAGACGCAATGCGTTTCCTGAAGGAGGCGCCTCTTAAGATGGACTCCATGTTAAAGAGGGTCAAAGCCCTGACTGACACCCTCAGCTCTCTCCGCAGGTACTCAGTATTTTCACTCAGAGTTAAAACTGCTCAAGAAAACGCTCTTGAAAATGCTCCTGTTTTCACCAGGTGTGTGTCAGAGTTGGTCCCATCACCCAGATCAGCCCAGTTAGAGCCGGTAGAAGCTGTTGAACTGGGCAACGGACCAGAAAAGACCCAGAGTCTTCAGAACTCCCCAAAACCCCAACCTCGGTCCTCAGTCAGGCTGCCTCAGCTCACTCCTTCTCTCTCTGGGAGCCAGGCTGAGACCAGGTTGGTGGGCTTGCCGCCTCTAATTGTGGCCCACGGAACGAAGAGCACACCACCTTCTGTGGTCCAGACCTCCCAACATTCCCCCGGTCTCCCTCTGAAACCCATCCCCGGACGGCACTCACCCACTGTGGCTAAGGTACCATATGGATAATAGTTCTTGGGCTGCATAACTGATCACTTTCACCTCTTCTTAAAGTCATTAAAGAACTCTTTAAGAGTTCTTTTTACTGATGGCATGAAGGTGGCTTTCATATGAATTGTATAATCTTGGGATTGATATTGTTATAGCACCTTGATCACAAACTAGGCCACCGTTGAAAAAAAACCAACATAAAATTCAATGAGATAGTAAGACGAGTAAAACACAGACATAAAATGATCTATATAACATATACAACATACCTCGCAGGCTGACCCATGCTTAGAGGCAGAAATGAGCACTTTACAGATACTTTTAAGAACACTTTAACTTCCGCTGACTTAAGTTGCCCTCTCCTGCTTCAACTTACCATGTTCATACTTCAACATGGGCGTGCATGTCACTCAGGTGCTCCAGCGGAAACAACATGCAGTACAATAGTTCCTACATGAGAATTTCCAAAATAAATGACCTGATGACCAGTGTTGGTCAAGTTACTTGAAAAAAGTAATCAGTAACTAATTACCGATTACTTCCCCCAAAAAGTAATCCTGTTACTTTACTGATTACTTATTTTCAAAAGTAATTAATTACTTAGTTACTTAGTTACTTTTTAAAAAC